TCCTTATGAATGTGTCGTTTTGTATAGTTTCGTATTTACTTTAAATCAAGCCTACCTAGGCTACCGCAAGAAGCTGGAGAAGCGCATTCACAAAGAGAACACTTCGATCTGCGAACAGGTCTTCTCGTGGTTCCGCAACTTTTTCCCCTATCATCAATGAGATGCGAGCCCACCGGCACAAATTCTTCTTGTTGCTTCTGTCCAAGCGTCACAACGAGTCCATTGAGGGTGGCAACATTCGGTATTTGCATCCAACTCGCCTGCCAAACCTCTTCAAGAATGCGAAGTCTGTCTCATACCTATGTTTCAAGAAGTCCAACACGAAGAATGCAATTGGCAAACCCTCGTCTGGCAACAAGATGGTCATGAAGGGCAAGTCCATGAAGAGTAAGTCCATGAAGTACAAGAAGTGAAGAAAGCTGAGGGACCATCTGTAGATCTAATCTCATGGGACAAGTTCTGTAGAATATAAATATTTTTGCTATGTAAATCCTTCTATTTGGTGGGTTGCTATTAATTAAACACACTAGTGCATATCAGTAAGATTGCTATAGAATCTCTATTGAAATATTGTTGTTTGTTGGAAGTCCACATGAGAAGTTTTGGCTTTGGTATGAGCTGAAAACTTTAGACAGCAAGATTTGGCAGCTTGAAATGCTTAAAAAAGTGCACGCTCACAGTGACGAGCTCTCTTTGTTTTTCCCTTTGGATGCTTCAGCATCTTTCTTCTGCCTCTTGCTAGAGGATGCTGCATGCTCTGAACTCTCAGAGTCAGATGGTGGAGGTGGCAGCAATGCTTCATGTGCTTGCTGGCCTTCTGGGGCATGACATCTCTCAAGGCCTGGTCAGCTGACCCTTCCTCAATGCCAAGAAGGCCAAAGGACTTTCATCCAATTGCATACCTCCATCTTGCCCACCTGCTCTGCAGCCACATCATGCCTCTGCTCTGTAGCACTGTAGTCCACAATTCTTGGCCAATGCAATTGCCATTCATCAGTATGCGGACGGTCTTTTCGGACAACAATGGTGCCCTTCTTGACTTGAAATCAAGCGTGACCTGAAGGAAAATTTCCTTGCCAACATTCATTACAAGCACAGATGTACATTCTGAGGGGGGGCTCTGCGAAGTGCCTCTTGCAAGCCATATCTGTGCAATGTGGTGGCAAGGGGCACCCATTCCAAGGATGACCTGTGGCCTACATGCAGGTGGAATGCATGAACTGCCTCAAAGCCTCAAGCAAGAAAAACAGCTGCCGGAGGTCTGCTGGACCTCCTTCTGCCAGGCTTAATTTTCTTGCTTAGAGCTCAGAGCCATGTATTTATATGTATATATATATATGTAAAGTCCGCTTAGTATGACTAAGACTGTGTAGTTGACTTCGGGTCTCGCGGCAAAATGTATATTCTCCTCAAGCACCACCCTTGCATTTTCAATCGTGCATGGAAGGTCAATGACCATCCAATGGGGTGTCAAAAGCAGTGCAATGAGAGTACAGAGTAGCATTCAGCTAAGCATGTGTACAGAAAAATGCGCATTGCCGACGCACTCTTTGGCTCAAGCACCCGCATAGAGAAAAAAAAGATTGCGCGCAGATCGATTATGTGGCCGAGAGGTGATCGATCGTTACTTCTAGAAACACCGGCACGCAGTTTCGATAAATCACCGCAACAACAGATCAATGCAGCTTGCATGAAGAATCCTTTGGTGGTCACGGCCTCGAGAACAACTGTTTGTTGAATCTTGTTGCTGTATCCAAGCCTGGGGCCTGGGGGTGCAAAATGCACCGCCACAGCTTTCAACAAATTTGTGGTACAGTAGAGTTTGAGTGCCTGACATCCTAGACGGGACAGTATCCAGAGGTATATATATAAATAGATCGCTCGACTTCACTACCTGGTTTGCACCTTGTCCCAGACCCGGGCAATGCGGCAATACAGCAATACAGCACTACATAAATGATCTCAAGCTGACAGACCTGGTTTCTGGTTTGAATGTTCCGATCCTGAGCTACGAAGTGATGGAGCAGCGGTGGAGCTCTTGCGCAGACCCGCGTGGTATGTGCAGACTTGCTGTAGCTGCCTGTATTTAAGCCTGGGGAGCGACAAACACATCACAGCTGAGGGAACAGCAAACTACAATATAGTTACCCAGTAAACTTCAATGGTTTTTTGTTTGGAGTTTGGACCGTGGGCTAAAACGGGCGTGGGTTTCATTGACTTTCTAGCTGCGAACTGCCAGGTTTCTTATGATGAAACACTCATTTTTTGGTTTCAATGATATCTGTACTGGGTTGAGGAATGCTCAAGCATATCGACCACACCGGTTGCGTTTGCACATGTTGGGTTCCTCTCACTGGAGCTTCTTTGCGCCTCCCAGACTACATTTTAAACCATCAGGCGTTCCTTCTTGCCTTGTGTTGAATTTCGTGTCACAGCCGGCCTGGCAAACGTCGAGCTGAGCGGTGATCTACACGAATTGTGTGCAAAACTTTTTCAGTTGAACTTTTTTAGTCAGAAACTTGCACTTCAATAATCTGACGGTCTTTGCTGCCTTGTCCGTGGGCGGCGCCATTTTAGCGATTTCAATCTGTTGAATTCCGTTTGCCAGGACCATACAGAGGCGGAGGGTGTGAAGGATAGGAGTATCAAATGCATGTCACTGTTGGTGTTGCATGAGTTACCAAGTGTTTCAGCCTGGTACGTGACAGTCGAGTCAACGCGATAGTATCATAATAGTTGACAAAATGTTTGCACACCCGCTGGTTTAGTGACCAATCTGTTCGTGTTGAGGACTATCTCTTGAAGCCGCGGGGTTCGATGCCACAGCGTGTAGCAACTCCGAGGTGAAATGGTCAATGTCCCACCGGCATGCAGTCCCATTGTCCGGATTATTGTTTCGATAAATCACCACATAAACAGATCAAAACAGCTTGCATGAAGAATCCTTTGGTGGTCATGGCCTCGAGAACAACTGCCTGTTGAATCTTGTTGCTGTATCCAAGCCTGGGGCCTGGGGGTGCAAAATGCACCGTCACAGCTTTCAGCAAATTTGTGGTAGAGTAGAGTTTGAGTGCCTGACATTCTAGACGGGACAGTGTCCAGAGGTTCATATATACATACATCGCTCGACTTCACTACCTGGTTTGCACCTTGTCCCAGACCCGGGCAATGCGGCAATACAGCAATACAGCACTACATAAATGATCTCAAGCTGACAGACCTGGTTTGAACGTTCCGATCCTGAGCTACGAAGTGATGGAGCAGCGGTGGAGCTCTTGCGCAGACCCGCGTGGTATGTGCAGACTTGCTGTAGCTGCCTGTATTTAAGCCTGGGGAGCGACAAACACATCACAGCTGAGGGAACAGCAAACTACAATATAGTTACCCAGTAAACTTCAATGGCTTTTTGTTTGGAGTTTGGACCGTCTAAAACGGGCGTGGGTTTCATTGATTTTCTAGCTGCAAACTGCCAGGCTTCTTATGATGAAGCACTCACTTCTTTTTGGCCTCAATGATATCTTTACTGGGTTGAGGAATTCTCAAACATATCGACCACACCGGTTGCGTTTGCGCATGTTGGGTTCCTTTCACTGGAGCTTCTTTGCGCCTCCCAGCTTGCATTTCAAGAATCTGGCGTTCTTTCTTGCCTTGTCTTGAAATTCGTCTGCCACGACCATGCAGAGCCGGCCTGTTTTGAACTTTTGGTCAGAAGCTTGCATTTCAATAATCTGACGGTCTTTCTTGCCTTGTCCGTTGACAGGGGCAACAACATGTTAACGATTTCAAGCTGTTGAATGCCAGGACCAAGCAGAGACAGAGGGGAGGGGTGTAAAGGATAGGGTTACCAACTGTATGTCACGTTTGGTGTTACATGAGTTACCAAGTGTTTCAGCCTGGTACGTGACAGTCGAATCAACGCGATAGTATCATAATAGTCGACAACATGTTTGCACACCCGCTGGTTTAGTGACCAATCTGTTCGTGTTGAGGACTATCTCTTGAAGCCGCAGGGTTCGATGCCACAGCGTGTAGCAACTCCGAGGTGAAATGGTCAATGTCCACCGGCATGCAATCCCATTGTCCAGATGTTTGTTTCGACATTTGAAACCATAGACATATCAGAACAGCTTGCGTTTTCAGAATCAGGTGGTCACGGCAAGTTACTGATGTTGTTTCGATGGTTGCTGAGCCAAAAAACAGCTTGGAATGAAGGCGTCGCGATGCGGAATCCTTGTCGCGATGCTTGGAATGGCCAACACGTGGCTGTATCCAAGCAGCGTCGCGATGATTTTCAGCAGAACTGCTTGAGGAAGGGCTCAATTGCTACCAAAGCTGGCCTGGGGGGTTTCAATGGCTGCAATTGACTGTAACAACTTTTTAAGACTTGGATATGAAATGGTATGAAGTCCACACACTGTGCTTAGCTGCCCCAGGCCGCGCGGAAGAACCAACACGGTGCGATCGAAAAGGGGGCCACCGTCACTGCTGGGTGTCCCTTATAGAAAACAAGTGCCTTAATTAGGCTCGCCGTTGCCAGATGGCTAACTCTTGGAGAGGGTGATGGAGAGAGGGAGAGAGAGAGAGAGAGAACTATAGTATATATAATATACCAGGACCTTCCCAGTGACCTTTTGAGATCCCAGAATGAGGTCACTTAGGACTTAGGTCTTGAAAAGGTCATTTACCAATCCTGAAGAGGTCACTGAGAAGGTCCTGGTATATATACATGCACGAACCCATTTCTTGACAAATCGACTGGAGGTCAGTTTCTGTCAGTGACTCGGAACGTCTCCCCGTTCGCTTCAACGCTTCCGACGCCGCCAGTACTCCCCCGCGCTTATTCACGTTCGTAGCTAAGCTGCGCTTTCAATGGAGCGACCAGTTCCGGAAGTGGGCCCCAAGTTCCTAGAACGAGGAGTTGTGCTTGAAAAACCTCAGACTCTTGAACAATTCCCATCTGATTTCAATCAATGCGTGGACCCCCTGACCCATCTTGCCAGGAATGCCGCGAACTGGCCGCCAAGCTCTTGGGCTGGTTGCGCCCAGGTGCGCTTTCAGGGGCGGAAACAAGCTTAGCGATCCTGGAGGAAAGCTCCGATGATCAACCACCACAGAGCTTGTTTTGTGTCGCCAGGGTAAGGTGTAAGTGTAGGTTCTTTTGAGGCTACCTATTCATAATTACCTTGCTCCACGACCGATCTTCCCGTCCCGTTCCAGCCGGAAGTAGTGGGTTTGAGCGCCCGGTTTCAGCTCTATGCAGTAGCTTCACTGCTTAGACATTCGGATTGAGCCAGTTCGACCTCTGTCGTTTTCAGCGACCAAGCCCTTGGGATCCGAGTGGAAGCCAGTTGCACAGTCTCAGGTGGCCACCTCTTCTTCCGAGAGTCTTGCTTTCATGCCTCAGGTGCGACCGAGCTTGAAGGGGGCATGCCTTTCAGATGAGTTTGGTGGACCCAAACTTGATTGGGGTTGGTGCCCGGATCCCTGCCCGCAGCGCCATGAACCGGGTGGGACCAGGGGAAACCCAGCCAGGCAATGCGGCCAGGCGCTTCAACCCCACGAAGTACCGCACGCCAGAGCAGCTGCTCGGACGGCGTGGTGTGGCGTGTGGGCATGTGTGGGGCTTGGTCGAAGGTGAGGAAAAGCATCGGCCTCTTTTTACATATACAAATAACATGAACACGCACGGCTTCCAAGCAAACGTGGTAATTACTGGCGCAACAGCTTGCGCAACAGCTGCAGCCTTCAAGGCACCGCACAGGCACCGCTTGCTAGCGCCACCGCGCCACAAGCGCCACAGGTACTCGCAGTTCTTCAGCGATGCTCTTGCTGATGGCTTCAGATACCAACTCTCCGGTACCAACTTTGTCGAGAGTTATGCCAAGCTGAAAGGTTTCTCGAAGCAGTTCCCGCTGCATCCTTTTTTTTTTTCTCCCGCCCGCATCCGACCCCGCGCCCATTTTTTCGGGCACCGAGACGGTTCGACCAAGACGGCGCCCCAGCGCAGTAGTCGTGAGACGGTTCCTTTATGGGGGGGGCCTTAGTTAAATATTATGGGGTATACAAAATGCATACCTGTTGGAATATTTAACTTTAATTAATTTAACATATTTTTTCAGAATATATTTTTGCCTGCAGGTATGCGATACCCCCGTTCAGCTGCTCTGGAGTATTTATTTTGCGAGATCTTGAACATGATGAAAAATTGGTGATCATCACCAAGTAGGTTCGGATAACCTTGGAATAACATATAGCCCTGGAGTATTAAAGTAAGGAAATGTCAATATACCCTGGAATGTTTAATCAAGGAAACATCAGAATTGATGTCTTCGACATTCTTCGACGGCTGCTGAAAGATGTTGCAGGTCCTGGCTTCCAGGATGTTTTTGGTGTTGGTGTTGGTGGTGGTGGTGGTGGTGGTCCTGTTTTAAAGGGTAGTCTTTTTTTAAAAAGAGGTTAGGCATACCTAGAATACTTGTTTGTTAAACGTTGAAGTAGCCTGGACTAATTGTTACATAAACAAATTCCAGGACGTTTGAACCTCCTGGAATACTTGTTGCTATGAAGCAACCCTAAGGAATAAAACATCTTCCTGCAGGTATCCACCGGTATCCAACAAAACCCCCATGTTCCGGCCGCAATTTGGCTGGCACTGTCCCACACCGACATCATCACCGGTCGACATCGTCGCATGCGAAACCGTTGCCTGGGCGCTGCTCCAGGCAACATGCATCAGTACTGGTTTCGTTGGCAGACACCTGGATTGCTTTCAGTCTTTTGGAGTTGTTTTCAAGGGTGAAGTTTGGCAAGACAGTGTCCAACAGCACGAAGACCCTTGCCAACTCGAACGCCAAAGTCTTGGGTCTTCTGCGTTAGAGATGGTTTTTGCTCGGCGAATGTGCAGGAAAGTGAGTCCGGCGAACAAGCGCCACTTAATGATGCTACAGACTGGACAGTATGCCCCTGCCAAGATCTTGCGATATGCACCTTGGCAGTTACCTGGTTTTGCGGATTAGGTGATCTTTTTCAACTTTTCCCCATAGTTCATCCCCTTTCCTGAGAAATCACGAAAGCTAGCGAAGCTAGCTGGAGTTACTCTTGCGATAGCAAGGTTTCTTTCGACCGGGTGCAAATCCTAACCCCTGATTTTTCAGGTCGAAGACCCCCCCCC